AGCTTTAAAATTAAAAGCTAGCATTTTCCTTTATTAATAAAACCTGGGGTGTTACAGCATAGCTTCTTGCCATTTATCTGAGTCAATGTCCGACATTGCCTCATCATAGCTTATTGGATCATTATCCAAAAGGAGTCCCTCTTCTTTGTTCTCTAACAATAGGTACAGCCTCTCAGGCGCCCTAGAAACCCTTGCGGATCTCCGAAGAGGTTGTGTTTCAGATGGTCCAGTCTCTACTGGTATGTTATTTGTGGTAACTTGTGGAATTTCTTGTGGTTCTTTATTAAGTTCTACAACTCCACTATTCTTTGAGAGAAACTCTTCCTCTAAGAAAACACCATTCCTCGAAACAAACACCTTTTGTTCAGAGGGATCATAGAAATAATATCCAATAGACTCTTTTGGATACCCAACAAATTTACATAATATGGATCTCATATCCAACTTTCCTCCCACTAACTGCTTCACATAAGCAGTACAACCCCATACTCGTAAATACTTGTACGAGGGTGTTTTGCCACACCATATCTCATAAGGTGTGTTGGGCACAACTTTACTCGACACTCTATTCAAAATATGTGCTGTTGTTTCTAAGGCATAACCTCATAATGAAAGAGGTAAACTAGTGGAACTCATCATCGATCGAACCATGTCTAACAATGTTCGATTCCTCCTTTCTGAAACCCCATTGAGTTGTGGAGTTCCTGGAGGTGTCCATTGTGAAATAATCTCATTATCTCTTAAATAATCAAGAAACTCATTCGTCAAGTATTCACCTCCTCGATCCGATCGAAGAACTTTAATACTACGACCAATTTGTTTCTCCACTTCATTTATGAATTCTTTGATCTTTTCAAATACTTCAGATTTATACCTCAATAGGTATACATATCCATACCGTGAATAATCATCAGTAAAAGTTATGAAATAGTGGTAGTTCCCCTTGGCACTAACATTTAGTGGTCCACAAACATCTGTATGGATCAAATCCAACAGACCTTTAGCTCGCTCCACTTGTCCAACAAATGGTGATTTTGTCATTTTACCTTTAAGACATGACTCACATGTAGGCAACCTTTCCTCTCCCCTAAGGTCGAGTTTTGGTCCCAATTTGTGAATCCTCTTTTCAGATATATGACCTAATCTAGCATGCCAAATTGTGAATGAACTATGATTATCTAATTTCCTTTTATTTTGTTGAATGGTTAGGTTGGGACTTTGTGGTGTAATGGTATATAAATCATTTGTCAAATTTCCGAAATATATAAAAGTTGTATCTTTGAAAATAGAACATCTTTCATTTTAAATTACAAACTTAAAACCCTCTCTATCCAATACTGGAATAGAAATTATATTTCTTACAACATCCGGAACATACAAACAATTTGTCAAACAAATATTTACACCACCATTTAATGCTAGATAAACAGTCCCAATTGCTTTGGCAGCAACTCTTGCCCCATTGCCCATCCTTAGGATTGTTTCTTCATTGTCTAGCATGTTACTTCTTGCCATCATCTGCAAATCATTGCAAATATGTGAGCCACAGCCGGTATTCAATACCCAAGAAGAATCATTAACTGATAAGTTAACTTCAACAAAATAAATACCTGAACTTTTCAGGCTTGCAAGATATTCCTTGCAGTTCCTCTTCCAATGCCCAGTTTTACCACAATGATAACATTCATGATTAGACTGAGAATTAACCTTCTCTTTGTTCTTCCCTTTGTTGTTATTTGCCTTCTTATTGGGTTTATTGGGAACCTTTCCCTTCTCCTTCCTTTTCTCAGACTTTAAAGCCTTTGATCCAGAAGTGGATCCAACAAGAAGCACCGGCTTATCCTTTTTAATTGTGGATTCAGCCATCTTTAACATGTTCACTAATTCTGGCAGAGAAGTCTCCATATTATGCATGTTAAAGTTAACAACATAGCTGTCAAATGACGATGGCAGAGATTGCAACATGAGATCCACATAGAGTTCATTATCCATAATGACTCCAAGGGATGAAATTCTTTCAACAAGAGCTATCATCTTCAGCCCATGATCATGAACTGAAGAGCCCTCAGTCATACGACACCTGAAAAGTTCCTTAGATATCCGATATCTAATTTGTCGCGTCCTATCACCATACAACTCTTGTAGATGAAGGAGGATTTCAGAAGCATTATTCAATAATTCGTTCTGTCTCTGTAACTCATTTGACATTGATGCTAACATGTAGCACCGAGCCTAGAGATTTTCATCAGTATGACGTAAGTATTCTCCATACTCATCAAAAGTCTGATCCTCGGGTGGAGGAGGAGGGGCTCTGTCCAATACATATTCCCTCTTTTCAGACTGTAGAACAATTTTTCGGTTTCTCAGCCAATCGTTGAAGTTGGGTCCAGTTAATTTGATTTGTTCTAGTATACTTGCAATTGGATTCTTAGCCATTTTCGTAGAGTGATCTACAAAACAATAAACGAGGCAGAAAATAATTAGACTATGAAATTTATATTCATTTAACATTAGGTCTTTAATATTAAATGTCTCCCACTATTTTAACCCATTTTAATTGTGAAAATCTAATTTTCATAGTGAGCTTGAAGTCCAATAAAAATATTCCATATCCCAATTTTATGAGTATGCATGGAACATTTATACTGGTAGTCAACTTTTGACAATTGTATCGCTATACAACCTTCAAGATGTTTTGCCTCACCTTTCCTTATATACCTCAATTTTATGACCGTATATATTACTCAGTGTCAAACCAAACCCATCAAACATTCATGATAACGGCCCACCAGAATGTCCCACGACTCATGGTCAACACAAAGAGGAATCCGTCTCACGAGTATCTCTATACTTAGTAGGGATCACAGCTTTCGACACAAAACCATCCCACGACTCATGGTCAGTGATAAAGCATCGTAGCATCTCATGTCGTCTACTTTTGATGGAAGGCCTGGGTTAATAAGTTCCAACTTATTTTTATCCATTATTGATTTGATATGAATTAATCAAATTAATTCTTTAGGGTTCCTTAGATCTCATCGATTACAATCTTTACGTGTGTTTATTTATCGCATCATCCATCGCA